GGGGTTTCACCGTGTTGACCAGGATGGTCTCGATCTCTTGACCTTGTGATCCACCCGCCTCGGCCTCCCAAAGTGCTGGGATTACAGGCTTGAGCCACCGCGCCCGGCTTGACTTTTTTCCTTCTTAAAGGAGAATTATTAGAGTTTGTTTAAAAATTTTTTTTCAGATGCTGAAACCTAGAAGTCAGCATCTTAACAAGTAGTGCAGCTGACTTTTGGTGCAGGTGGTCCACATTTATTAAGTTACTGCTTTAGGTGTTTTATGTTCTTTCTGTGGGTAGGGTTAGATCACAGAGCCGCATACCCAGGTCACATTCTTTTAGTAACCATCAGAATCATCTCCAGTGAATTATACTTTAATGGTATGTTTTTTATTTTTGTCTTTGGTCAGACTAATGACATTTATTTGGCTATAGTCCCCCTCTGCGGAAACAGCTTTGTTGGTGATGTGGTTACTTTGCTTTGTGTCAACTTTGTAAGGCCCCATGTTTTAATTTTCTCTTAGGCTGAGACAGGTGGTTCACGAAGTCAGGAGTTCAAGACCAGCCTAGCCAACATGGTGAAACCCCATCTCTACTAAAAATACACACACACAAAAAAAAATTAGCCTGGTGTGATGGTGCATGCCTGTAATCTCAGCTACTCCAGAGGCTGAGGCAGGAGAATTGCTTGAACCTGGAGGCAGAGGCTGCAGTGAGCCAAGACTGCACCATTGCACTCTAGCCTGGGTGACAGAGTGAGACTCTGTCTCAAAAAAGAATTAAAACATTGTCACTTAAGGAATGAATATATTTCATTTATCAGATTTTGAGAATTAGCCAGCCCATGATATTTTTCTTTTGCCTTATTGTTCTTGAGAAACTCAATAGTTAAATACTTAACCGCTATGTCTTTATATTAGTCTTCATGGTTAATATACTTGATTTCTCCTTTTTCTTGGCTTTGTTTTCAATTTTTATTTTATACTTATTTCATTTTAATAGTCTTGTTTTAAAAGCTATTACAAAGGGTGTTTTGATAGTTTTTTGTGAACATTCATATTAAGCCACTGTTAATAAGCCTCTTGAAAGCTATCATATTTTAAAACAGAATAATTCCCATGAATCTTTCTTATTTATGTATTTATTTATTGAGACAAGGTCTTGTTCTGTCACCCAGGCTGTAGTGCAGAGGTGTGATCATGGCTTACTGCAGCCTCGAACTCCTGAGCTCAAGCTGTTCTCTTACCCCAGCCTCCCTAGTAGCTAGAACTACAGATGCATGCCACTGCAGCTGGCTAATAAAAAAATAAAATAAAATAAAAATTAAAAAAAACTGTAGAGATGGAGTCTTGCTGTATTGCCCAGGCTGGTCTTGAACTCCTGGCCTCAGGCAACCCTCCTGCCTTGGCTTCCCATAATGTTGGGATTGCAGGCATGAGCCACCATGCCCAGCCCTTGTAGATCTATTTGGTAACTGTATCCTAAAGAGCCTTCCAGAATTCTAGTGAGTGCAACTGATTGCCTTATTGGGGGAGATTCTTAATGTTAGATTTTAAATACTAAGAAGATTTTGTCAGTGCTAGCAGATAGAGTTTATGTTAGACTACGCTTTCTGATTGTTTACCTGGTCAGAGCTACTTCTTAAATCTGTGTACAAAAACATAATAAAACTGCTATCTATACAGATTTTCTGTGTGAGCTGTAGGCTTAGAAAAGGTAGTCCCTGAGTTGAATAGGCATTGTTATTACTTGTCCTAAATACTTTACATTTTATTTTACTTTTTACCGTTCTCCTGCTCTCTAGGTACTTTGACTGCTGTGGAAAGTTTCCTGACTGTACATTCAGGGCCTGAGGTTGGTTTTTCTGTTTGTCTTGTGTTGTTTCAAGTTAATATTAAAAATATTTTGGAAATGATACATGTGTCTTAAAACATATTTAGACTAATTTGTAAAATATTTATAATTTTTAATGTGTGAAAGTCACCATGTTTAATTTTTAAAAAGATACTAAGTTAACAAAATTACTTTGACTTATAATTTATTTTATTTTGTAAGAAGTACATTGGTTCAATCTGGAAAAGCGGGGCAACTTGAAGCAAAGGCAGGAAGACTCCCAGCTGGGAGGGAGCTCCCAGGTCACAGACAGGCGATGCACAGCTGTTACGTTCAGAAACAAGAAGGAGAAAAGCACTTGTTAGAAACCCAGCTCAACCCATTTAAACCAGCAAAACAAAAAAGAATCTATTGGTTCATGTAATCAAATGTCTGCAAGTAAATAATATGGCAGGATCTAGGTGTTCAAATGATATTGTCTGAACTCTTTTTTTTCCCCTCATTTCTCTCTTTTTATCCCTTTTGTTTCTTCTACTATTATGTAGGCTCTGGACAGAGCAGGAAAGGTACTGGCAGCCCCAAATATTCTTTGTCATAAAGGTTCATGATTTCTTGGGAAGAGCTACCAGAGTTACATGTCAAACGATAGAGAAGATTAGTCATTTTGCTCATTCTTAAGCCAGCTGATGTGACCTGGGGTAATATAGTATGAACCTGGAAAATCTGAGACAAGTTTCAGTTAACTGAGAAAGTTAGGCTGGGCTCGGTGGCTTACATCTTTAATCCTAGCACTTTCAAAGGCCAAGGCACGTGGATCACCTGAGGTCAGGAGTTTGAGACCAGCCTGGCCAACATGGTGAAACCCCATCTCTACCAAAAATACAAAAAATTAGCCGAGCGTGGTGGCAGGTACCTGTAATCTCAGCTACTCCAGAGGCTGAGGCAGGAGAATCGCTTGAACCTGGGAAGTGGAAGCTGCGGTGAGCTGAGATTGCACCACTGCACTCTAGGCTGGGTGGCAAAGCGAGACTCCATCTCAAAAAAAAAAAAGTTTATTTTGCCAAGGTTGAGGATGCACCCTTCCTGTGACACAACCTCAGGAAGTCCTGATGACATGTGCCCGAGGTGGTAGGGGGACACAGCTTGGTTTTATACATTTTAGGGAAACATGAGACATTAATCAGTATATAAGAAGTACATTGGTTCAATCTGGAAAAGCGGGACAACTTGAAGCAAAGGCAGGGAGACTCCCAGTGGGGAGGGAGCTTCCAGGTTACAGACAGGTGATGCACAATATTACATTCTTTTGAGTTTCAGATTAGCCTTTCCAAAGGAGGCAATTAGATATGCATCTATCTCAGTGAGCAGAGGAGTGACTTTGAATAGAATGGGAGGGAGGTTTGCCCTAAGCAGTCCTAGCTAGAGTCTTCCTAGTGATTTTGGGGGGCCCAAGATATTTTCCTTTCACAAGGGTAATCAGAATCAGTCTATGAATCAATTTTTTTTTTTTTTTTTGAGATGGGGTCTCGCTCTGTTGCCCAGGTGGAAGTGCAGTGGCATGATCTTGGCTCACTGCAACCTCTGCATCCTGAGTTCAAGTGATTCTCCTGCCTCAGCATCCTGTGCACCCAGGTGCACACCCCCACTCCTGGGTACAATTTTTTAAGTATAAATGAAAAAGCTTAAGAGAAGAAGGATAAGGAGTAGCTGCAGAACAACAGTCTAGTGCCAGACCTGGGCAACCTGTCAGGAAATTTGTTGATACTACCTTAAAATATGTCAGAATCTGATGATTTTTACCACTTCCCTTGTTACCACCCTGTTCTTGCTACCACCTGTTGTACAGTCTGTGCTCGACATAACAGTCACTCTGATCCTTTTCAGACATAACCTAGACCATGCCACTCCTCAGCTCAGAATTTTTAGTGGCTCCTTGTTGCATGCAGAAAGAAAGCCGGAGTCCTTACCTTAGTGCGGATGGTTGTAATGATCTGGCCCCAGTTACCTCTCCAGCCTTCTGTCCCGCATTTTGCCCATATGTGTTCCCCATTGACACTGACTTCTGCTGCTTTCCTTAAACACACCTGCGCACTTCTGCCTTAGGGCTTTTTTGCTGGCTGTTTCCTTTGCCTGCAAACGGTTCTCCCAGATATTTGCATGACTCACTCCCTCACCACCTTCAGGTCTTTTCTGAAATATCACTTTCCTAATTGAAGCTTACCCTGACCATCCTGTTTAAAATTGCAAACCAACTCCCTTGCCTAGCACTACCAGTTCATTTTATCTGCTGCCTTTTTCTTTTTTGCTGTAGTATTTCCCACCTTCTAAATTCTATATATTTTCTGTTGGCTTTATCACTCCCTCTAAATGTGAGCACCACAAAAGGAGGGATCTTTCTCTGTTTAATTCACTGAACACCTAGAACAGTGCTGGTCGCATAATAGCATCTCCATAATTGTTGAATGAATTCAATGGACAAGGCTAGCATAGCTTTGATTTCCAAACCTTACAAGAACAATTCCGTAATGGAAAAGTTTGGTCTAGTCTCATAGGAACATAGATGTAAAAATCCTAAACAAAATTTAGTAAATTAAAACTAGTGATGGGCTGGGCGTGGTGCTCACGCCTGTAATCCCAGCACTTTGAGAGGCTGAGATGGGCGGATCACCCGAGGTCAGGAGTTCGAGACCAGCCTGGCCAACATGGTGAAACCCCATCTCTAAAAAAAAAAAAAAAAAAAAAAAAAAAAACTAGTGATATATACACAGAATAATATTTTTTGACCAAATTGGTTTTAGAGCAGGAATACAAGGTTTAACACTATAATCTCTGTAATTCACCTGATGATCAGGCTAAAGTTAGAAAATTATATGATCATGTCAGTAGATAGAGCAAAGGCTTTTGATAAAACGTATCTATTCATGATGAAATTTTACAGCAACCTAACAATAGAAGGGAAGATTTCTTTTTTTAAAAAAAGCTGTAGCAACCTGGGTGTGGTGGTGTGCACCAGTAGTCTCAGCTACTTGGAGGTTGAGGCAGGGATAGCTTGAGCCCAGGAGTTCAAGGCTGCAGTAAGCTATGATCACCTTGAAGTATTGGAATTCGAGTATGAATTAACACCAAGACAAAAGTATGCCAAATTGCAGGGCCTTTTATTGCCGGCGACCACAGAGGGCTCACGTCTCTCCAACCTGTGGCGTCAAACTCAGGGAGAGCAGGGTTTTTAAGCTGAAAAACCACATCCTGGTTTTAGGACCCAAAGGGTGTGGAGCGGGGATGGGGATGAAGGGCTTCAGACATTCCGAGGGCTAGTGGATTCTGTAAATCAGGAGAGGAGGGTGAGGGGGGCTCCGGACATTCCAAGGGCCAGGGGACTTTTGTCACTCCGATTGTTACTTAAGTGGTTTACAGAAGTCAAGATAAACATTAGTTTACCCATTATCTGGGTAGGGTGAAAATTACAGACCTTAGTTACTTATTACAAGTCACAGGGGCCAAGATGGCGTTAGCCTGGACTGCTTACTCTGGTACTGATAAGAAAAGGTAAGCAGCTTTACATAGTGGGCATTTTTCAGAGCAGGCTAGCAGCTTTATTGACAGAAGCCAAACATAGCTTTATCTTATAAAATGGCGTTGCTCAGGTTCTGGCTCTAGGCCAGCTACAGCACAATATCACAACATCACTATATTCTAGCCTGGGTATCAGAACAAGAGACCCATCTCTTTAAAACAAAAACTGTAAGAAATGTGACACCCAATGTTTAACATTAAAATGTTTTGCTCTGGCATCAGGAATAGGACACAGATGCCAACTCTCATTACTTCAGCCAGATCCTAGCCAGGAATAAGGCAGGAAAACAGAAATTAACTGCAAATAGATGAGAAAGGAAGAAACAAAACTTTTCTATAGATATAACCGTGAATGTAGAAAATAAAAAGGATCTACAGATAACATTAGAATTAATAGAAGAGTTTTGTGAATTGCTGGAAAAACTCATTTCCAAACAAGGTCACTTTCTGAGCTGCTGGGGGTCAGGACTTCAACATATCAAGTTCTGATTTTGGGTGGGGCTGCAGTTCAGCTCGTAACAGTGTCTTTCTGGGAATGTGTCCATTTCACCTAGGTTATCTAATTTGTTGGCATACACTTGTTCATGGTATTCCTTTATACTCCTTTTTATTTCTGTAAGGTTGGTAATAATGTTCCCTCTTTTATTCCTGATTTTAGTAGTTTCGATTTTCTTTCTCTTTTTTTTCGGTCTGTCTAGCTAAAATTTGTCAGTTTTGTTGACCTCTTCAAAGAACCAACTTTTGGTTTTGTTGATTTTTCTATCCTGTTTCATTTATTTCCACAATAGTGTTTATTTTTCCTGGATATAAAATTAATATAAAAATCAGCTGTATTTCTGTATGCCCACTACAGTTAGAAGGTGATTATTTTTGTAAAAAAGACCATTTATGTTAGCATTAAGTAAATCAAGTACCTAAGAATGAGTAATAGAAAGTGTACAAGATTTCTGTGAAGAAAACGATAAACCTTTATTGAGGGCCCAGAAAAAGACACAAATTGAAGGATCCACCATATTCATGGATTAAAATATGAATCCATTTTGTAGTTGTAAATTTTCTTCAAAGTTGTTGATAATTTCATATAGTTCCCATCAAAATATCACAGACAAGTTTTGTTTGTTTTGTTTTGTTTTGGTGTGCATCTTGACAAGCTGCACATGTATATCGAAACTCAAAGGGCTGAGAGTAGGTAAGATATTCCTGAAAGAGAATAAGGCAGAAAGACACGCTTGGGTACCAAGACCTGTTATTAAGTCAATGTAAACCCTTGATTTATGCTGAAGGGCTTTTCCTACCATTTTAATTTTCTTTTTACAAATCCACTTTTATTTGTATCTATTTACTTTTCATCCTTGTGGAGTACATCATCTCAGGGCTTCTATGTCTAGTGGCCTCAGTGGGAAGGTTGCTTTGGAATTAGGCACAAATTGTGCCACTGTTTCTGTGGGCACATGTTACCTTTCCCCACATTACTCTGGTTTTGTTTGGTTTGCTGCTAAGAGTCAGTATTATTCTTGGTACACATAAGCACATCTCCTGCCCAAATCAAATCTCATTTTATCTCAGCCATACATACCTTCAATTTTAAGAAGAGCTGTGTCCTCCCTTTGGTTCTGGAGACCCCACTGATAGCAAAAATAGCCTTGGACCACAGCTTTCCAGACATGTTTGTCTTTTAGAACTCTTCCTCCCAGCAGGCCTCCAAAGGCTTCGAGATGGCAGAAATAGCAAGGGGGTTTTCAGTAGATGATGCTGGGAGAATTGAGTATCTACATGGAGAAAAAATGAAATTGGATTCATACTTTTGCACCCTGTACAAAAATCAAGTTTAGATGGATTCTGGATGCTCTCACCATTGGTAATGACTTCTACAAAAAGACAATGAGTCTTTAAATATAATGAAAAAGTGTTACATTTGTGTACATTTAAAATTGAGAATGTTTCTCAAAAGACATGGTTAAGAAAGTCAAAAGGCTAGCTGCAGTGTAGGAGTTATTTACAACACATGATAAACCCTAATGTCATAATTTTGAGCATAAGAAGCCAAATGCTAAATAATAAATCATGCTTGATTACATTTCTTTAAAGTTTAGAAACAGGCAAAACTAATTGTATTGTTTAGGGATGAATGCTTAGGTGGCTAAATGCTACTCAGATTGAGTAGATTAACAAATTGAACCTTTACGACTTTTAGTTCTTATGTTATACTTTTAATAAAATTGAAGAAATAAATCTGTACCAAAATGAAAGTTAGATTTGGTATCTCTGCTTTTCAGTATCATCAAAGCTAAGATAGGAAAACCTGAATCTTTGGATAGTTTAATTTTTTCTCTTATTTTGTTTATTAACAATGAAAGGTTCCTTCATATCTGCCTCACAGATATCCCTCCTTGAAAATCTTGTGACAGAATTAGTTGTGAATCTTTCTAAATTACTCTGTTCACCTAAATAAACAACATAGAGGGAAGCATATAATACAATTATGTACAGTCAAAATAATAAATGACGTTTAAATATTCATGAAAGAAAATAAAAGGCCCACCTAGAAGTTAGATAAAGAAACGTCAGTGATAGGCCAGGCATGGTGGCTCACACCTATAATCCCAGTACTTTGAGAGGCTGAGATGGGCGGATCACCCGAGGTCAGGAGTTCAAGGCCAGCCTGGCCAACATGGTGAAACCGCATTTCTAAAAATACAAAAATTAGCTGAGCTTGGTGGCAATTGCCTGTAATCCCAGCTACTTGGGAGGCTGAGGCAGGAGAATCACTTGAACCTGGGAGGCAGAGGTTGCAGTGAGCCAGGATGGTGCCACTGCACTCCAGCCTGGGCGACAAGAGCGAGACTTTGTCTCAAAAAAAAAAAAAAGATCAGCACTGTGGCAGTAGGTTCAGAGGTCATGTCCTTTCCTGGGCTCTCCTCTCAGCCACTCATTTCTCAGGGGAAGCTGTAAAGAATAGTGGGAGAATAGAAAGCCTGAGAGCTCAAAGTCTCATGAAAGGATAAAAAATAAGTGAGTAAATGAGAGTCTGGGTATGAACAAGCAAATACTAAGGACTGTGTACTGGCTGTGTTACCAAAAAGAAATCAAGGGATTGAGGAAAGAAAATATAAATCATATTAGTGAACTTTAAATTTAAAAAAAAATTACTTTACCAAGACTTCTGTAGGAAGACAGATCTATAACTTTGGGCTAGAAGAAGAGGTTTTGGAGGTAGATGGGGAACCAGGTGTAACAGGATGGAGAGATGTGCACTGCACAGTGTATGTATGCATAAATGTGCATGTGGACATATCCTGAAATGATGAGGAATTTGTGTAGGACAGAGGATTAGGGTGGCTATTCCTGCAGATCATATGGGGCAGAAAAAAAAAGGATTAGAGTGGCTGATCTTGAAGGAATATGGTCAATTAGGTGAGTAAAACTGATGATGTAAAACTAAGTAACTTATTACAGAGTATAAAGAATTTTAGGAGGGGAGAAGAAAAGACTTATTTTGGTATAAATACTGAATATGATCAAGCTAATAATGAATGTTACTACTGCCTAGCTGGTCATGAAAATCCACCTCAAGGTGATTAAATAAGGGATTCTATCTTGTCCAAATATAAGTGAAATGTTGTTTGTAACAATTATAAGATACTTGGCTTCACGTTTTAGTAACTACCCCTTAAGACATGTTTCTTTTAACTCTTGAAATATTTTATCAGGGATTGAGCTTTCATGATGGTACCTGGAAGTCAGCAATTTATGGTTTTGGAGATCAGAATAGTTTGAAAAAACTGCGACATGCATCAAATTTGAAACCTGTCCCATTCGTTGGTCCAAAATTGAAGAGAAGGTATATTAACTTAAAATCCATTTTTTAATATATCTAATCTGTTATTCAGTTGGCTATTAATAAAGTACGTTACGAAGAAAAGGGTGGAGACTATTTTGTAGTAAGTTCAGAATTGTTTTCAAAGATAAATAAGATATAATTAATATATTACCATAAGCTTAAGTACTTCATATATAATTTGAATCCTAGGAAATAAGTGAATTTTATGATGACTTTTCACTATCTATATAGAAATTAACTGTCAACTACATTTTATGTCATAACTTTTTTTTCTCTTTTAAAAATTTATTTTAGTTTAGTTTTACACTGCAGGACATATATGAGAACTTTAGATATTTGAATTTAGAGGTGGGCTGTTAAAGTTAGCATTCTTTTTTTTTTTTTTTTTTTTTTTTTTTTTTTTTTTTTTTTTTTTTTTTTTTTTTTTTTTTTTGAGACAGAGTCTCTCTTTGTTGCCCAGGCTGGTCTCAAACTTCTGGCCTTAAGTGATCCTCCTGCCTTGGCCTCCCAAAGTGCTGGGATTACAGGCATGAGCCACTATAATCTGCCACTGATTTGCTTATTCAGACATTTACTAAAGTTGTGGACACCATAATTGAAGGAAATGCAAAATAGTCATAGATCTGCCTTACAGGTGGCCAATTTCTTACTGTCGGGAACTCAAAAGTTATTCCATTCCTTTTATGGGATCTGATGTGTCTGTTGTAAGGAGGACTCAACGTTACTTGTATGAAAATTTAGAGGAATCACCAGTAAGTATATATGGTTTATTTATCAATAAAGAATATTCTGTGTTTGTTACAGTTCCCCTATCTGTTCAATGTAGGATATTTTTGTTTATAAGGCAGAAAAAGGAAGAGCTAAATAATACATGTTTCATGCTCTGGAAATATACAGAATCATTAGGGTAGAACATTTTGTATTTTATAGCCTTGCCCTGTGATTCAGACCTGGCTGCTGAATAACTTTTTAATGTAACACAATAACAGCAAATTCAATACAGGAAACCCTGGTGTCATTAAGCACCCCAAAATCCCTGTTTAGCGTTTCAGTTGCTAGAAACTCTTGCTCGTGGAGATGTCTGGAACTTTCTCTCTCCCTTCTCTCCTTGCCATGTCTGGAGTGCCGTCCTGCTTCTTTTGGTGAGGAAAGTAATTGCTTTCATTGCCGAGAATTCAAGAGGAAACTGTATTTCAAGTTAAAAGGTGGAGGGCATTTTCTCATAGAAGGGGTTGTAAGTAGGGTCTGCATTCTGTAGCATATGATTGCTAAACTCAGATATATTATGGGTGACATAGATTTTTCTGTCCAAGTAGGGGAAGGTAATTACCATTTGTAAACAATTTCTTTAAAAAGTAGGGTACCAAATAAAAAAAAGTAGGCTACCGTACTTCCTGTTCACCGGGTCTAACAAACAAAACAAACGAAACTCGGCTCCCAACACCTGGTTTCCGAACCAGGTTTCAGAACATGATGCATTTGTAAAGGGGAAGAGAAAGGTACAGATAGCTAACATTCTTGTATGACTTGGTCTGAAATGTAGGGAGTCATGTTCTAACTTTGTATTCTGAATCTAGGTTCAATATGCTGCTTATGTAACTGTGGGAGGCATCACCTCTGTTATTAAGCTGATGTTTGCAGGACTTTTCTTTTTATTCTTTGTGAGGTTTGGAATTGGAAGGCAACTTCTCATAAAAGTAAGTAAGATTTTATGAAATTAGATCTTTAGAAGTGTTTTCCATGTGTTTTTTAAAAAAATCACTGAAAGTGTTTTTGTTTTTGTTTTTCCTTTAGTTCCCATGGTTGTTCTCCTTTGGCTATTTTTCAAAACAAGGCCCAACACAAAAACAGGTAATCCTTTCTTTTGTGTTCAGATCACTAAAATAATATTTTTCTTTTGTTTTTACTTTTCCTCAGTGCAGTGACAGTACCATCGAAGACTTGATAGGGCACTGTGTTTCAGACAGTCTTTTAAATTCTTTATGTAAATTAGATTATTGCTCCGTGCTTAAATTATGACAGGATATTCTGGCAGATAAAATAATGTTTTCGTCTATTGAAAATGTCTCATTTGGAATAGAATAGTTGGTTTCACTATGTTCCAGGAGGAAATGACGTATTTATTCAACGCACCCTTTGCCTTCTTTCACAGATGGACGCCGCATCATTTACGTTGACATTCTTTGGTCAAGGATACGGTCAAGGCATTGGTACTGATAAGAACAAACCAAATATCAAAATTTGTACTCAGGTGAAAGGACCAGGTATTTCACATATCACTTAAGAATGCTGAGAAAAAAGAAAAAAAAAAGAATGCTTTGGGAGTTTTATACTCTCAAGCTATAAAGTAGAATGCCATTACAATATATTCTTTTTAAAGCTTAATTGTTTTAGAAATACATTTGTACAAATTTAAAATTATTCTGTCGAAGACAAACTTTGATATAATCCAATTTTATTAGTGCATCCTTCCCTCTGGCTTTTTTTTGAATATGATTCAATAATTCAGAATGGCAAATTTTAATTAGTATTAATAAGAAAAGGGATTGGTTGATATTAACCTGTTTGAGTCTCATATGCAAGTAGTATAATTATAACATCAGTCAAATGTGTGGTCTAGGATTTCATCTTTTTTTAGATGGAGTCTCGCTCTGTAGCCCAGGCTGGAGTGCAGTGGCGTGATCTCGCTCACTGCAACCTCCACCTCCCTGGTCCCGGTTCAAGCAATTCTCCTACCTCAGCCTCCCAAGTAGCTGGGATTTCAGGCACCAGCCACCATGCTCTGCTAATTTTTGAATTTTTTAGTAGTGATGGGGTTTCGCCACGTTGGCCAGTCTTGTCTTGAACTCTTGACCTCGTGATCCGCCTGTCTCAGCCTCCCAAAGTGCTGGGATTACAGGTGTGAGCCACCGTGCCAAGCCTAGGATTTCTTTAGTGTCTCTGAATACCCTGACATTGTTTGGAAAATGTATGCAAACTTGCACTTTTCAAGGGACGGAAATGGCTTCTGATAGGTGGTTAAAAGAATGTTCCCAAAAACGTTCAAGAACTTGTGCTGTAAGTTTTAGAGAACTATGCAGAGACAGACAGGTCCACTTGTGAATTATAGTATAATTACTGTCATCCCTGATAGGTCGAAGGTTCTTATTTTTTATTGAGACGGGGGTCTCACTATGTTGCTTAGGCTGCGCTCAAGCAGTCCTCCTGACTCAGCCTTCTGAAGTGTTGGGATTACAGGCATGAACTGCCATGCCTGGCCCACGGGGGATTTTAATCAAGCCAGATGACAGTGTATTTCCATCTTGCCCTTTTTTCAAATTCCCACCTGGCTTTTGAAGGTAAGTTGACTGTATTTTCATTATTTGACAGGATTATAAATGCTAATGTTCCATTTGTTTATAAACTTTTTTTAAACTTTAGTCAGTTGTTTAAGAAAAAATTGAGAGGGTTTTTTTTGTTAGTTGTTTTTAAGTGAAGTGTATGAATACAGATAGGGATCCGCTCAGTGGAGTAGTAGAGAAACAAAAAGCCGAGCTTCATTGGCTTTTTATCAGTTATTATCAAGAAGCAGTGCAGTGCAGTGGTGAGAGTGTGAACTCTGGAACCAGATGCCTGGGTGTGATTCTGACTTAATCACTACGTGTTAGTTTGGACAAGTCACTTAACCTGTCTCTGTGGGATGAAAAGAGTATTGACCTTATATAATTGTTATGAAAATTAAGTGAGTTTGATAGATTTAAAGCACTTAGTACAGCTCCTAACGCTTAACAAGTAATATAGAAATGTTATTTTTATTAAGTGACCAGAGTGTCTATCGAAAAAAATCTGTACACCTAGAGTTAGATATAAAATCTACCATTTGATGTTTGATGTTGTTGAATGGATACTTCATGAATGCTTTCTTTTTCCTTGATCAACTGTTTCTGCAGAGGCTGGCTATGTGGCTACCCCCATAGCCATGGTTCAGGCAGCCGTGACTCTTCTAAACGATGCTTCTGATCTGCCTAAGGCGTGAGTTTGGTTTTCTTTTAATTAGAAGATACCTTTTTTATCTGTGTTATATTTTAGCTTATTTTGATTTGATTTTCAGGCTTTGGGTCTGCACATAAGCATTTATAGTTCAGTTCTTTTGATCCAAAATATAGTTAAATTAGAACTGTGAGAAGGAGAGCTTCTTACCAGCCCACAGCTGGTCAGAGGAACAAACGAGGAGGTAAATGAGAGGAGACAGAAAAGTTTGAGAACTGTAAGTTAACTTTAGCTCCTTGTAAAAACAGCTCAAGTCCAGAGTCAGTCAGTCGAAAATGGCCGCTGTTGTTAGATCGTGTTACTAGGAGCCTCTAATCAGTGCTGAACTGTACCCCGCTGGCAGTGGCATCCCTGACTGACACCGGCGTCAATGGAATCATGGGATCCTGGCTAGATGATTATCAGACCTACTGTCTTACTGGAGCATTTAGCTGTCACGCTAAAACTAGGCCAGCTTTTCAAATGAGCATAGGCCTGCTGCTGAGAAGTAAATCAGGCGTGACCTAAAATGGGATTAATAATAAAAGAAGTTGTATATAGTGAAACCTAATTAAATTTTTAAAATACTTATGTTCCCTTTGAAAATATTTAGCATTTACGAATGTTAGCTATTATATTTTTAAGAACTTATTTTTCATCCAATTTAAGTTCCGTTTAGACTTTAATAATAATTGATTACCTAAGTTTATTCCATTCATGTCTTTCTTTAATCCCCCTGAGTCTGAGGACTGTCTTTAGAAACAGCAGCAGTTCTTCAGGGTGATGACACCTAGTGTGCCCCTTGAACACACGCATAGTATGGAAACAGCATTGCCAGGAATGGAACCCATCTAGACAGCGTTGGCTGTGGTGCCAGTTTCTCCTGACTCATATTGATTGGGCTGATTTTAGGAATGGAATCAAAGGTAGCCATGATTAGCATGAAGACTCGGGTTTTCATGAATTCTGTAGCAATTTGATAGCGAGGCCGATCAAATAGGAGATGACTGGAGAGGAGCTGTGTGCACTGTTTTCTCTTGTTATTGTTTTACAGGGGCGGGGTCTTCACACCTGGAGCAGCTTTCTGCAAAACAAAGTTGATTGACAGACTCAACAAACATGGTATTGAGTTTAGTGTCATTAGCAGCTCTGAAGTCTAAACATTTGAAGAATTAACTGAAGTCATAAAGTCCACGAATTAACAGCTTCTCTATTTGATATTTGAAATTATTCTGTAAGCCTCTCTAACTATATGTGGAAACGTTTGTCAAATCTAAAATATTAAAAGCAGGAAATTGTCCTAGCTTATGCTAAATTTGAAATCTCAGCTGATTCTGTGATTTTATTGCTTATGAGGGAGAACTCACATTTGACATATTTTTTTCATTGTGTTCCTGGTAGATGTCTGTGAATGAGCTGGCAGGTCTAATGAGGGAGGAGGTGTCCCAGGCTGTGTTGTCAGCAGCATTGCTCATTGTGGGTGCGCAGACCAGCGTTAGTGCAGGGCAGTAACTGCTGCTCGCATCGCTGCAGGGTGAAGGAATCTCACCTTCCGTGTTTCTCTACGTGCTGTCTTGAGCCTTTGCTAAATGAAACTACACTTTTTCCTATTTTTGCCTAGTTTTTCACCTATCTACAGTGATTATGGACGGTTACCTAAGTTGGAAAATCCAGGGTTATCAGTTGAATGGTGTTTTTGGACCTGCCTATGTATTTGTAAGTGGTAGAAACGTACTGCTTAAGGGATCTAACCTGTTTCTTGCCAATAAGTGGACTTATCATTTTATCTTTACCTAATTCTATATCTGTGATTAGGTTTAAGGATACAGCTTATAAGTTGCTATCTATTTTCACTGGTTAAGCAGAATTTTTCTCTAATTGACTTTTATATTTTAACTAGTTTTACGTGGAAGCCATAAAATAAGGCAAAGGACTTTTTCTTCTGTGATAAGCATATAATAAACATATATACATAGTGATCGTGTTGTTCATTGCCTAAACAAGACAGCCACTCGTTTATGGAATTTCTACTAAAAAGTGAGGAACATAAACTATGTAGGAATATGATTCGTGTTGGGAGACCCTTCTGTTCTGCCTGTGCAGAAGAAGGGGGGATATCTGACTTGAAGAGGGGATTCTTGGTGGCAGTACTGCCCACCCTAACCCTGCTTCCTCTGTCCTGGCCTGGTCATCACAAGATACAGATTTTGGTCTCAGCTCTTCCCTAACTTGTGGGACCTTAGAAAAGGTTTTATCAGCTTTAAAATTAGAAAGCAGTCAAGGAGTAATAGAGCCCATGACTAGCTGTACATCTGAATCACAAAACAATAATAGGCTCCTCAGTGCCTCCAGGAGTTTGCATTCAGGAGGTCTGGAGGTCAGAGCCCCTGTGTTTTTGATATGCATTTGGGAACCACTAGGTGAAGCTACATATCCTGTCCCTGTTTCTAGCTTTGCAACGTATGCTTGAGCATTGACTGATTCTGAAGGTAGCAGTGTGCCCCATCCTCTGGCTTGAGGTACAAGTGTGTCTCATCCTGATTTTCCTTTTAATCCCCCAAGGTTCTGCCTGCTCTCATTTGCTGAAAGTATAAGACTCACCTCAGGCCAGCAGACTGCAAATTGTCCAAAACTCTGAGGCTCAGTTTAACAGGTGGAAGCCATTCCTGCTCCCAGTGGCCAGGCCGAGAGAACTGGAGTCCACCCAGCCTCTGCAGTTACTGTTGTCTCACTGACAGTCTTCCCAGGATTCGGTGATGCCTTTGCTGACACTGTCCTGGCCGTCACCACGAGGTGCTCCACACTTGGGCTCCAGAGTTGTAGCAGTTTTCTTGGTTCACTCGTGTGTGTTGTCAGGACCTGAGCTGTAAGCAAAACCCGTACCTCCCTTATGAAGCTGAAGTCACTAGCCCAGATTTCCTTGTCTTTCTAGGGAGGTTCCTTTTCGGAGCCGGTGACAGCCTCTCCTGTCAGTACAGCTTCCTTATCAGATTTGACCTTCCTTAACTTCATATTTTAGGGAGTAAGGATTGAGGTTGTCACATCTTATTTTCTCCTTCCTGATTTTTTACACAAATCAGCCAGGACTCCCAGGGACAGTCTTGCACTGTCAGGCAGCCGGCCATCACGGTTAGGAATGCAGGCTCTAACATTGGCCCCTGTGCTTACGTGGCCTAGGCAAGTTACTCAACCTTATAGAATTATCGTGAGAATGAAATGAGCTAACATATTTGGCATTTAGATTAGTGCCTGGCACATGGTGTATGCACTTACTAAGTTTCAGCATCATCACTACTATTTGTTATTAGAAATCTGTCTTTGGGGCTGGCATGGTGGCTCATGCTTGTAATCCCAGCACTTTGAAAGGCTGAGGCGGCTGGATCATCTGAGGTTAGGAGTTTGAGACCAGCCTGGCCAACATGGTGAAACGCCATCTCTACTAAAAATACAAAAATTAGCTGGGTGTAGTGTCTATGAGGCTGAGGCAGAAGAATTGCTTCAATCTGGGGGGCGGAGGTTACAGTGAGCTGAGATTGTGCCATTGCACTCCAGCCTGGGTGGCAGAGCAAGATTCCATCTCAAAAAAAAAAAAAAGTCTGGCTTTGGCCACAAAAGGTTTCTTTTTTCTCTTTTTAACTTTTTAAGTTCAGGGGTACATGTGCAGGTTTGTTTTATAGGTAAAGTGCCATGGGGGCTTATTGTATAGATTATTTTGTCTCCCAGGTATTAAGCCTGGTACTCATTAGTTTTCCTGACCCTCTCCCTCCTCCCACTCTCCACGCTCTGAGAGGACCCAGTGTGTGGTGTTCCCTTCTGTGTATCCATGTGTTCCCATCACTTAGCTTCCGCTTATAAGTGAGGACATGTGGTATTTGGTTTTCTGTCCCTGTGTTTGTTTGCTGAGGATAATGGCCTCCAGCTCCATCTATGTTCCTGCAAAGGACATGATCTCATTTTTTATGGCTGCATAGTATTCCATGGTGTATATGTACCACATTTTCATTATCCCATCTACTATTGATGGACTTTTAGGTTGATTCCATGTTTTTGCTATTGTGAATAGTGCTGCAGTGAACATACACATGTGCACGTCTTTATAATAGAACGATTTATATGCCTTTGGGTATATACCCAGAATTGGGATTGCTGGGTCAGAAAGTATTTGTTTTTAGGTCTTTGAGGAATAACCACACAGTTTTGCACAATGGCTGAACTAATTTACACTTTCACCAACAGTGTATAAGCATTCCTTTTTCTCTGCAACCTTGCCAGCATGGTTTTTTTTGTTTGTTTTGAGACGGAGTTTCGCTCTTGTCGCCCAGGCTGGAATGCAATGGCACGATCTTGACTCACTGCAACGTCCGCCTCCTGGGTTCAAGTGATTCTCCTGCCTCAGCCTCTGAGTAGCTGGGATTACAGGCATGAGCCACCATGCGTGGCTGATTTTGTATTTTTAGTAACGATGAGGTGCTCCATGTTGGTAAGGCTGGTCTTGAACTCCGGACCTCAGATGATCTGCCTGCCTCGGCCTCCCAAAGTGCTGGGATTACAGGCGTGAGCCACTGTGCCTGGGCTAGCATCTGTTATTTTTTGACTTTTTAATAATAGCCATTCTGACTGGTATGAGATAGTATCTCGTACCAGTCAGATACTTGGGTTTGCATTTCTCTAATGGTCAGTGATGTTGAGCTTTTTTTCATCATGTGATTGTTGGTCGCATGTATGTTGTCTTTTGAAAAGTGCCTGTCATGTCCTTTGCCTACTCACAAAAGATTTCTTTACAGCCTCTCCAAGAGTGCTCAGTGTCTGTCAATTCTTGACTAAGACCCATCAATCAATTTGTGGAATCAAGATTGGCTTCAAGATAGACTAACTCCTAATAGATTTTCTTACTAACAATTGTAATCCCCGAACCACGGGCCCTGCACTGAAAAGGTCCCATCATACGGGCACTCCTGCTGCTTAAAAAATTGAACATAACAGTATTTCAAGTAAACATATGAGAAGAGAAAAATAAGTGGAGGTAGAATTCAGACTTGCTCAGAGCAAGATACAAAATGAGGGACATGAAATAACCATTGTCTGTAGGTCCGACAGCAAGAAAATAGAAGAGTTTCATTTGCAGTGTTGAACTGTTTACCATAAAAATACTAATGGCAAATGCTTATCACTCACGTCTGTGTGTCAGGCACTGTTCTGGTGCTTTATGTTCATTAACCATTTTCAGTAAATAGTGTTATCCTTCCCATAAAACAAATAAAGAAAGAGAGGCTTAGAGAGGGGAAGTCAGTTGCCCCGGTCATGCAGTTGATAAGTGATGGACTTCAGCAGGATCTAACCCAAGGCAGTCTGATCCCAGAGCTCCAGGCTCTTCATTCACTCTGTCCCTCCTCCCACCTTCCAGCCGCAAATAGACTCCAGCGTGTGTTGTCCTCTCTGTGCGCCAGGAACAGAGGCCACTCAAGCAGCCATTAGGTTATGGAGATGATGGGCAATCACACTGAAGGACAGTTTTGCTTAAAAGTGGTAGAAGAAATAGGTTAAAGTAAGTGGGAAATGAGGTAGGCTCATTAGCTACACAAATAATCTTCACAACTCAAAGCTTGAATATTTTCAGTTTTCAGTTGGTGTGTCGTCACTATTTCATATGCAGTAAATATTCTCTCTTCTTTTTCACTATAAGAGCAACATCATTTTTCAGTTTCCACAAGCTGGATTCAAGTAGATCCCCCAAATCCTTAAACATCTGTGATTGTTGGCATACAAATGGTCGAAGTAGTTGATCGTCTTCCTAAAAGAAAAAGTGAAAAAATGATAGTGATAGACTTTGTGTCATGACAGTAGAAGTCTTGTGTGTGAGGGGTACCCAGCAAGCTTTCCCTCTGGGACAGAAACCTGCCTTGGAAAGTTGCCAGCAGAGGCACTGAGTCACCTAGGAGCAGCTTTGTTTCAGAAAGGCTTCCCGAATGACCCTTACCTACTGCCAGTAGGGAAAACTGGTGAGATCATTCAGATCTTTTCAATGGGAATGTTACATATGTCTTTTAATACTGTAGAAGGAGGATTAAGGAGCCAGTGGGTGTCAGCTTCTCCCATGGGCAGGGTTTTGCCGATGCTTCCCCTAACCTGTGGAGGCAAGTCCCTCTGAGAACTGGGGTGCTCTGGGGCAGAGTGCTGGAGACAAATGGTGGAGGAGGTGGTGACGCACTCACTGAAAATGAGAATGGCAGAGAGCAGGCAGTGTGACATGGCAGTGTGTTTTAGTTTGTATTTCCCTGAGTATTAGTGAAATCCTGTTCAGATCCTTTGGCGATTTTTTCTAATGTGTTTTCCAACATATTCTTTCTCTCTCTCTTTTTTTTCTATCGTAAAAGTAATTGTTGGCCAGATGCAGTGGCTCGCACCTGTGATCCCAGCACTTTGGGAGGCCGGGACAGGTGGATCACAAGGTCATGAGTTTGAGACCAGCCTGGCCAATATGGTGAAACCTGGTCTCTACTAAAAATGCAAAAATTAGCCAGGCGTGATGGTGCATGCCTGTAGTCCCAGCTACTCGGGAAACTGAGGCAGATGAATTGCTTGAACCTGGGAGGCGGGGGTTGCAGTGAGCTGAGATCGTGCCACTACACTCCAGCCTGGGCAACAGAGCGAGACTCTGTCTCAAAGAAAAAAATGATAATTATTTAATTTGAACACTAATGGTTGCTCAACAATACTATTATATTTTCCAGGCTGTGGTTTATTTGAGACTTTGTTTATGGTGTCTTTAACCGGTTATTCTTTTTTATTGGGAGATACCGAGGCCTAGTTAAAGTGAACACACCTGCTCTGGAGAGCCCACCGCCTCAAGCTCCTCTTGTCACACCTTCTCTCCCTATCCCAGAAGGAACTGCTAGCCTGACTTGTGTGGTAATCATTTTCTTGCCTTTCTGAATAGTTTTGCCACCTGGACTATATCCCTGAACAGTGTATTTTACCCGTCTTTGAATGTTTATAGACTCATATTGGATGTCATCTTTTGTAACTCGGTTTCCATCACTGTGGGAACACTATTCTTGTTGCCTGTGGCTGTTGTTCATTTTCATGGCGATGTAGTGTTATACAGTGTAGAGGGGGCCAAAACTGACCCATCTTCTGGGAACATACATTAGGGATGATTCCAGTTTGGGGCTGTTATGGGAGGGTCTTATGAACAGCAGTGCACATAAACTAAGATTTCTGTAGTCTTTTTCAGCTGACCTGTCATCTGAACCACAGAAGTGATTTGAGTAACTCTCAATTCTTTGAGGAATGGTGTGTTACTAGTATCATCCTAGATATAGCTTATTTCATGTCAGATGCCTTAGTGCAGTAGGTTCTCAAACTTTCAGGCAGAATCATGGAGAGGGTTTGTTGAAATGCATGTTACTAGGACTCACATCCAGAGATTCTGATTCAGTAGGTCTGGGGAGGGCCCTGGAATTTGCATTTCTAACCGGCTCCTAGATGCTGCTGAAGCTACTTTGACTCTCTGCCTGAGGGAGGGCATTAGGGCTTAAATCTCAGCAGAACCAGTTCACCTTGTGAAGGAAGGAAGAGTTGAATTGCATGCTTCTAGGTTATAGTATCTTCAGCTTTTAATAGGTAAATGCCAAGTGATTTTAAATTGGTTGTACCAGTTTATACTCCTTTCAGCCATACATGAGAGTTTGTTATTTCATATCTTCACCAAAACTTGATATTGTCAGGCTTTTTAATTTTTTTGCCAGTATGGAAGGTTAATAATGGTATCTCATTGTGGTACCAATTAGTATTTATGCAATTAAGCACTTTTCCATATATTTATTGGTATTTTTAATTTTCTCTTTTGTAAAGTTCCTGTTCAAGTATTTTGACCATTTTTTTTTTCCTATCTGGTTGTCTGTTTTTTGTTTTGGTTAGTAGTAGTTCTTTATTTTGTATATAGTTCATTATATGTTAAATGTGTTGCAAAGAACTTTTCCCATTTTTTTTGGCTATTTCATTTTGGACCAAAGTTCACCATTTTAATTTAGATGAATTGATCAGCCTCCCTCTTTAAAGCTAGGGGTGTGTGTGTGTGTATGTGTGCTCCCTCTTTAAAGCTAGGGGTGTGTGTGTGTGTGTGTGTGTGTGTGTGTGTGTGTGTATAATGCATAAGAAATCCTTTTCTACTGTGAGGTTGTAAAGACAGTCTCCTAAAGTCTCTTCTGATGGCATTAGAGGCAGGGCATGGTGGTTTATGCTTGTAATCCCAGCACTTTGGGAGGCTGAGGCCAGAGGATCACTTGAAGCTAGGAGTTCAAGACCAACCTGGGCAACATAAGATACCATCTCTATTTTAAAAATATTTAAATAAATAAAAGCATTAGGGTTGTGCCTTCTACATTTAGCTCCTTAATTCTCACCTGAAGTTGATTTCTGGGATAGCTTTAGATGGGAATCCAGTTTTATTTTTCCCCTTACATACTTCTAATTCTCCTAGCACTGTATATTGAAAAGTCCATCCTTGCCACATTGATTTGCAGTTCCACTTGGTTGTATATCAAGTCTGTAGTCCTGAATAAATCTGTTTCTGAGCCTTCTTGGGTTATCTTATCTACCTTTGGGCCAACTCTCTGTTACAGTCATTCGAATGAAATGCTGATATCAGGTAGGGCAAGTCTTTCTGCCTTGTTCTTGGATCTTGGCCTCATCTTGGCTAGTTTTTGCTTTCGCAGTTCCATACAAATTGTAAAATTATCTTGTTAGGTCCTGTTAGATTTGGTTAGAATTATGCTGACTTTTGGGGGAGAACTGACAGATTTACAATAACAAATCTTCCCAACCATGGAGACATAGCAGTTTCTCTCTTTATTTATATTCTTTTAAACATCTCTCAAGCAAGTTTTAAAATTTTCTCCATATAACCCTTACATATTTTATGTCAGCTATAGGCCTAAGTATTTTCATATATTTGATGCAATTATAAATGGTATCTTTTATTTTAAAAATAATTTTCTGCTTGCTGCTGTTACATTCAAATACAGTTAATTTTTAAGTCTTGATTTTGTATCCAGCAATTTTGCAATTTATCTATAAATTCTTGGGGATTTCCTGTCTATACAAGCACGTCATCTGGGGATAATACTAGAGGCAGCACGGTGTGGAGGGAAGAGTATAGACTGGGAAACAGCACCGGTGGGGTCTAGACCTCCACCCTGCCACTCATGAGTTGTGTGTCCTTAGATACATTATGTAACCTCTCTTGTACCTTGGATTCATGAACTGTAAAATAAGGCTAATAACAGTACCTGCCTCATAGGGTTGTTGTGAGAATTGAGTCAGTAAAAGCACTTAGTGTTACATAAGTGTACGCTATTATTGTAATTACTTTTCTTTCCCTTTCCAATGCTTATACTTTATATTTCTTGCCTTGCTGCACTGGCTAGAAGCTAAAGGACGGAGGTAAAGAAAGCTGGTTTCCCTGGCCCCCTGATCTGAAAGGAAAAGCTTTCAGTCATTCATCACTAAGCATTTTATCCAGTGTGTGTGTCTAAGATTGCCTTTATCAGATTAAGGAATGTGCACTTTATTCCTAGTTTGCCAAGAACTTTTCTTGTTACAGGACGTTTAATTTTGTCACATGCTTTTTCTGCATCTGTCAAAGTAATCAAATTATTTTCTCTTATAATCTCTTAATATGATGAATTGCATTTGGTTTTATAATGATAAATGGGGTAGTCTGTATATTATATTGTAAAGTGAATGGATAACAATCCTGCAGTGATCTGGTTCCATGGTTGCATGGAGCCAGCCAGTTGTGCCCTAAAATAAAAAGGTCAGAGCAAAGCCGGATGGCGGCCTGAGAATTGCTTTTGCAATTCCATATAGTTGCCGTAGATCCACGCCTACAGAGCAAGTCAAGCACAGCCGCCTCCACTTGCTCTTCTGCTTCAAGATACACGTCTCCAAGCTCAGGAAATACATCAAATGTCTCAGTTTGATGGGAAGGAATTCTGTTTGCTCCCAGGATTCCGGTTACTTACAGGAGGTTTGTACTGCCTGAGTCTGAAAAGCTGCCCTCTTGCCGTGTTCATGCTTTGGTAGAACACCTTGAGAGCCTTGGCAAATTCTCGGCCATAGCTGGCTTGCTGTGTACACATGTGGCTCATCTCTCTGGCTGATGGCAGTTGCGCTGTCATCCCGCTTATCTTCAGAGTGTTGGAAGGCTTATGGGCTGAGGTGGAAAGAAAAGGTAACATTTATTTATGCATCTATTTCTTGAGGCATCTCTATATTTATTTATTTTGGTGGCATTCTATGACGTCAGCAGTTATCAGGCACCAGTTTGGATCTACCCAAAGGAGATCTCACAGGGCAGAAGAAAAAAAATGTCCTGCATTTTTTGTTTATGAAACAAGATATGAATTAACTCATTTAAAAGTTTGTTTCTTAAAAGACAAATACACATCCCCAATGTAGGAGTCCAGGGGTAAGCTAAACAGCCAAGAGTTGAGCAGTCCCTTACCTTGACCAGAAGCAGTTTTCGCAAGTGATTCTTTGAGAAGCACGTTCTCCTCTCAGAGGGCTCTGTTAATGTTTCTGAGCAGTTCTGTCTCCTGCTCAAACTTGAACAGCTTCAGATAAAGTTCTGGTACGTGGTTTGATGCAGCCTACGAAAAAGCTTGTCAGCTTAGTCTTTTGTTGTATCATCTGCATTTCCTTTGATACTGGCGGTGTTCACTACCATGGGAAAATCAAATGGGATGGGGGCGCGTGTATGGTGAGCAGAGTTAATGCCCCTCAGGTTACATGGGAGTCAATAAAGAAAACGACTGTTAAGGAACGTCAAGCAGCTGTCATTAGAGATTTTCTAGCCACCTGTGATGCCTATTTTAACGTCATATGTACACGCCTGGCCTGTTTCCTTCACAGTGGAAATTTTCTTGGTGTCTACCAGGATATGGCCTTTACCTGTGACCATGAGGCCCAGCTGATTGCAGCTCAGCTCGGTGCAGCCTTCTGTAGTGGGGAGAGAGGCAATCGAAGAAAGAAATGTCTCAGTTGCCCAACTCCAGTGTCATGTGCGAAGCTGTTAAAGCGTGTGATCACCCTGCAGGACCAGAACCCAGGGGAAAAGATGGCTCTGGCCCTGTGCTGTTAGGACCCTGACCACCCTGTCCTTTACCTCGTCTGCAGCCCTAAATGTATGGCATTATTTCTCATGGAAGAACGGACCACGTGAGAGAATAAGTAAGCAAGGTACCTTGAAGGCCGCATAGGTCAACAATAAGGGCATTTGTCTGCAAATAATTCAGAAACTCCTGAGATGCATTTAAGGCTGTAAATTGGACGGTCTCTTCAATTTGTGGATTCACGCTTTTCCATACAGGTTTGGTATAGTGGTATTTGAAAGGTCATAAATTCTGTACCTGAGAAAAATATAAAACAATTTAAAACCAGAAGGGACACATTTGTAAAGAAGAAGGACAGATGAGCCAGAGATTTACAGCCCATGTGTCAGATAAAAGATGACCTATAATTCTCATGTTTACACATCCAACGTCTTATTTATTCAACATGGATATCATCACTGTATAGACAGTATTCTTTTTTTAAAAAAAAAAAAGGCCAGGCCGGGCACAATGGCTCATGTCTGTAATCTCAGCATTTTGGAAGGCTGAGGCAGGCAGATTGCTTGAGCCCAGGAGTTCAAGACCAGCCTGGGCAACATGGCAAAACACCATCTCTAAAAGATACAAAAACGAGGTGGGTGTGGTGGTGCATGCCGATAGTCCCAGCTGCTCAGGGGGCGGAGCCCAGGAGGCGGAGGCTGCAGTGAGCTGAGATTGCTCCTCTGCACTCCAGCCTGGGCGACAGAGCGAGACTGTCTCAAAAAACAAAAACGGATCTCAATACATCCCTTCTACTTTGATAATCAAAAATTGTTAATTTTCCATGTGAGGTGGTAGTTTGTTTTTTGTTCTACAAAGTCTCCCTTTATTGCCTTTTTTTTTTTTCTTTTTTGAGATGGAGTCTCACTCTGTTGCCCAGGTTGGAGTGCATTTTCGTGATCTCAGCTCACTGCAACCTCCGCCTCACAGGTTCAAGCGATTCTCCTGCCTTAGCCTCCCTAGTAGCTGGGATTACAGGCCCATGTCACTGCACCTGGCTAATTTTTGTATTTTTAGTAGAGATGGGTTTTCACCATGTTGGCCAGGCGGGTCTCAAACTCCTGATCTCAAGTGATCTTCCAGCCTTGGCCTCCCAAAATGCTGGAATTACAGGCATCAGCCCCTGCATCCGCTCTGCCTTGTCTGTTAATATCCTTTTAGCCTAATTAGTTTAAAGACATCCGGTGCTTCTGCCATATCATACAGTCCTTTTGTTTCCAACTACAACTCAAACTGTTGCTTAGATAATACAGTTTTATGAGAGTCTTTCTGATACTTAGAATTTCTACTTCAGTTCTGTAAGAGTTCAGCACACACTGACCCCAGGCCAGAGACCTGGAGGGACATGTGGCTCCTCTATTAAATAGATGAGGAAAAGTTTCAGAGAAACTTCAGAAAATGTTGTGTGATAAGCTCATTTTTAAAACTTGAAGAAAGACTGCACTGCCTCCCCCAGGAGCCGCAGGGCAGGTTGGTGTGTGTGGCTGGGTTCGGTGCAGGCGGGTACCCTATCTGAATGCCCCACTTTGCATCTTCCTTCATCCACTTGATACCAAGGCACCGGACAATGTGAATCTGGAAATCCATCCTCTTGCCCAGCAGCTCCAAAGGGTCAATAACCACATCCTCCTCGCCATGTGTTCTACAAACAGGAGAGGGGAATGTTGGCCTCGGGTTAGGCTGGGTTAAGATTGGCAGGTTAACATAGTGATGTTAAGGGAATTAAATAGAATCCTGAAGAGAGCTAATTTCACTGAAGACAGGATAGGTAGTATCGCCAACAGTGGAGTTCAAAGACACTGGACAAGAGCCCATTACCCTGGCATGTCAAGGTTTAAGATCAGGACCTTCTCAAGGATCTCCCTGCCTGGAGGAAAGAGGAAAATAAACAGCCTCCTGTGATAGATGCACACAGACGTGGATGCCAAACTCGCACTGAAGATTTAGGGAGGTCCCAGGGGACAGAGTGGGAAAGGCAGCCAACTGCCCAGATGCAGACTCTCAAGCTGTCATCTTGCTTTTCCTTGGTTTCTTTGTAGTCCAGAGACAACCCCAGGCCTATCAGCTCAGAAACTGACGGGCAGCTTTCCAACAAGGGACCACTGTCATATCAACCAGGCTGTCCAAGTCTGAAACCTATAAACCGGACTGCTACTTTATTAATTTCAACAGGAAATACAACTTGCTGGGCAGCCTGGAAGCTCCAGGTAGCCAAATGACCAGAGAGATGCTTGGAGTAAAGACAGTGAATTGCTGGTCAGCTTGGCTTCTTGGTCATGGAACCTTGAGGTTCTCTTCTTGAGCGGATTTCTTCCTCAGGAAATAAAAAGGTTGCACTGAGTGCCCGTGGTGGCTGTGGCCTTGGCACTCAGACCAGGCTCCCTGCCAGCCCCTTGACTTAGGATTGCTAAAAGACTTGGCCTTTTGTAAAAACTGTGGTCTAAAGAAGAAAAATACTCAGATGAGTATTCAGAGAGGACATAAAGGGTAATGAGGCGACATTTAGGACAGAGCTGATAGCTCAAAACGAAGCCTGTGCCCACAGAAAGGTCAGGCGACAGCACAGAATGAGGTCAGGCATCGCAATCCCTACCTGGAGAAAAGCGGGGAGCTGGAAAATCGGCTGCTACTTCTGGCTCTTGAAGCAGGTGGGGCCTTCAGCATGGGAAGCATCCTACGTGGCAGATGCCAGGCTCACAGGCCAGGAGGGAGTGTGGCTGGGGAGGCCCTGCAGCCCGCTTGGCTTCTCTCCTGAGGGTCTGTTGTTTGGAACCCACCCAGCTCTTTTGGTTTTGTCCAAGGCTCCTTCCACTACACCTGCCTCTTTGCTAGATGTCTCCCTCATTCCTTCAGTCCCCCCGGGCAGTGCTGGGCTGTCTTGGATGTGGTTGGGCATTCCGGGCCAGCTGATTTGGCCGCTCTAGTAAAAATCAAATTTGTTGCGGCCAAATGGTAAATGAATGAGCTCATTCATTTGTCTTAGGAATGACCTGTTCAGGGTCCCATGTTGACCACCCGGTCAGGAGAACTCAGGCTTGCTCTGGAGTTTCTATGTGTGACTGACCCAGAACTAGGCAAGGGGGAGAAGGAGACACTCACTGTCCTGTGGGGGAGCAGGGTGCCATGCAGATATGCAGCACGGCCTCCTCCAGCCCGTCACAGTTCAGAAACTCCGCCTGCTCCTCCAGCTTCACGCAGTAGGCCAGCGACTGGAGCCAGATGTGAGCTGAGCCCAAGTGGATGACCTCGACAGGATCCCAGAAAAGGTCGTCGTCTTGAGCCACAGGGCTGTCATCTCCATCTAGAAAGTGCTGGTAAAGTTCCTCCATTAGGAATTTCCTATTGATGAACTTGGCTTTTGACCATATCCACACCTAGAAACACAGAGGTAAATCAGCAGTGTTTGAGTTCATCTGCTGCTCTAACAATTTATCGCTCTGATTTTTCCCAGCACGCTCCCTCCATTGACTGGGTTTGGGGTACTCATGACCATACACCACTCTCTCCAAACTTAGCTTTATGAGGTCAAGAATACCATATTCATTCCTGGACCTGCTACTTCAGCACTGCGTGAGCCTAGGAAGTGACTTAGAGGAGATGATGGAGGAGTTAGAAAGCAGGCCGTCTCAGGAGAAATGAAGACTTGGGGATTGCGGTGTGCAGAATGGTCCTCAGAGATGCCCACGTCCTAATCCCCAGAACCTGTGAATATGTTACTTTACATGGCAAATGGAAATTAAGGTTTGTCATCAGCTGACCTTAAAATACGGAGATTAGCCTGGATTTTCCAGGTGGCCCTAATGAAATCACAGGGGCCTTCAGTGTGGCAGAGAGAGGCAGAAGAGAGGGTCGGAAAGAGCTGACAATGCCTGTGGGGTCAGAGAGCCGCCATGTGGTGGCTCTGAAGGTGGAGGGAGGTGGCCCTGAAAGCTGGAAAGGGCCGGGAAACAGCTGCTCTTCCTCAGGCCCAGACAGCAGCACAGCCCTGTGGACACCTTGCTTTTAGCCCAGCGAGACCCAGTTTGGACTTCTCATCTGTAGAACTAGAAGGTAGTAAATTTGTGTCATTTAATGAGCCTGGTAATTCATTAATAGCAGCCATGGAAGATGATGCGGGGTAGTTAGTCTGGAGAAGAGCTGAGAAGTGGCTCCCCCGCCATGACTGGAGTGCACACACAGCCACATGCAAAGGAGATACTCGTCACAGCCCTGCTAGCCGAGCACAGCGGGCATTCTGAGCTCCCTTCTGCAGAGGCCCTGGCAGGTCTCATTCCTCGTTCAGGAGTGCACACCCAGCGGACAGCAAATCCAGGACAAGAGCCTGCGCTGTCTTCCTCTTCACTGGGTGAGGACGGGGCCGCTGTCATCACTGGCTCTGGAGAGGGACGAAACCTGAAGCCACAGGATTCCAGTTAGGTAGTTTTTAGACCATAGATGTCAGGTAGAACTAGCAACTCCTTTTCTGGGCAACTTGAAAAGCAAAAACAGAAATCAACAGATAAATCATTCTCTGTATGTATGATGTATCTTCATAAAAAGGACACTCTACTCTGGAAACAGATTGCAGCCTTTTCTGTTGGCCTCAGAGTGAAGAACCATAGTTCTCTCCTAGAGGCAGCACCACAGTGAAATAAGAATGTGGGGCGGCAGGGAACAGCAGGAGCTCTAGTCATTGTGGTTTTTCTGTTTGTGTGTGTTTCTTTTCTTTTTAAGACATGTGTTCTCCCTCTGTCACCCAGGCTGAAACGCAGTGGCCCAGTCATAGCTCACTGCAGCCTCGAACTCCTGAGCTCTGTCGGCCCTCCAGCTTCAGCCTGAGTAGCTGTCTGGTTTTTCTTAAAGACTTTAGGCTAGGGAACTAAGATCATGGGAATCTAGGTGATACATGAATTCACTGCCTCATTACCTGTGTATATCGGACCATGGGCCTGGTGTCAGTTAAAACTGTATGTCATCCTTGGGCTGAGGAGGAAGCAGGTCAGCGGTGCTCCAGGACAGGCTGGGAGCCCAGGTTGACTCCCTCCTGCTCCCAGGTGGGCTCTGCAGGCTCCGAGGTCCCTGGCGGGATGTGCTGCTCACCCGAGCCAACAGCTCTTGGGTGAATTCTGCTGAAAAGTAACCGCAAGCTGGCAGCATTTCAAGGTCGGAAAACCCTCCCAGGCCTCACACGGAGCCCTGGTTTCCTCCTGAGCTTGTCCGTGATGTGACTCCAACAGTTGCACAAAACTGCACATGGACACTGCGTCTTCCCTGAGTGCTACAGCAGCAACCACAGTTCACATGGTGGGTGGGAGGATAGGTGAGCACTTACGGGGTCAGCCAACAAAGTGCCACTCGTGTCTGTAGCTGGGACCCACAGCTGTCTGCTGGCCATCTGGCCATCTAGTCTTCAGAGGTGCCTGTCCTGCGTGCACTGCACACGTCTCTGCACCATGTCACAGAGACCCCCAGACTACAGCCTTTCTGAGGCCTCCTGAGGAGAGCAGGGCTTCATCTGAGGAAAGGTCACTGGTACTAAGCTTACCTGTGTTTTTGCAACAGGGTCTTGCTCTGTCTCCCAGGCTGGAGTGCAGTGGCATGGTCACAGCTCACTGCTGCCTCGACCTTGTCAGGCTCAGGTCATTCTCCACCTCAGCCTCCCCAGCAGCTGGGGCTACAGGTGCTCACCATCATACCCAGCTAATTTTGTATTTTTCGTAGAGATGGGGTTTCACCACGTTGCCCAAGCTGGTCTCAAACTCCTGAGCTCAAGTCATCCACCACCTCGGCCTCCGCAGATCCTGGGATTACAGGTGTGAGCCACCATGCCGGGCCTTCTCTTACTTGTTTCAATGTAAAAATGGACAGCCTTGATGATGGCAGATTGGTAAGGTTCATATCTTCATGAGAAAAAAAACCCAGACTGTGCAGCCCCCTTGAAAGAGAGCCTGCTGTGTAAATGGAAGCCACCCTATCAGACAGCTACTGTGCAGGTGACAGGATGCTGGCTGAGGGAAAATGACATTGCAGAATGAATCCAGCCCTCAGCTCTCCCATGCAGTTCTCCCAGTGATAATGTGAAAACACCATCTTCTGCCCTGTTTTGGAAATGACAGGCAGGCTGTCATGAGCGCCTTCGTGTGCGCTCAGTAATCCTGCTAGCAACAGTTTAAAAGGCGATTTTCCCACTTGCCTTAGACTATAATACAAAATAAACAGAAGAGCATGGAAAAGGGACTTTTAGAATTACAATTTTTCTTAAGACAGGAAACTGCCAAGCCAACTTCTGGGGAAGCCTGGCCCAAGAGAGGCACACAGACTGTCGGGCATCAGAGCCAGTCTGCGCCAGTGGCTTTTGCTGGAAAAAGAGAAAAATGAAAAGCACAAACACACTGAGGGGTCCCTCGCGAGGCCTCATGGAACATGGAGAAGTCCAGTCTGACTCCCCAGGAAGTCACACAGACCTGCATGAAAGGGGCCGGTCTCTGAGGAGCTGGGTTCCAGGAGGATCCTGGCTCAGTTTCCTCCTCGGGGCAGGATTGGCAGCCCCAGCACCTAGAGCACGAAACCCTGTGGACAAGGTGGTGGGCACACAGGTGCTGACCACATTGCATGTACATATATGCTTATCATCTTCTCTCATTTCAGTTTTTAAAAGCTTTAAAAAAAAACTGGTCTTGACCCAAAACATTTTGGCAATTTTTGTGCAATGAGCAGAAGAGCAGAAAAGTGAAACTCAGAGAAGCCCCAGTTGCTGAGTAGAGAGGGAGCATCCTGGGGTGGGAGCCGGAGGTGCAGCCTGAGGGCTGCTCCAGACGCCTGGTGTGTGCACAGGGGCACTGCAAGATGGGCCTGCATTTTCTGTTTCCTCCTTTGAGGGCAGACATGGGGAAGCAGGGTCTTAAGTTCCTAAAATGGACGTTCCTGATAGCGGCGTCAAGTGCATCAGCCAGCGAATTGGTGAAAGCCTTTTCTGGAGTCCCTGGAAGTGTGGCGCTTCACATTGCTGCAGAAAGGCAGCTTGTGCGTTCATGTGCACACACACGCACGCCTGCACATACATGCACATATGTACATGGACAGACACCACTACCACTTGGGTAAACTCCCAGGCTCCCTCCTGGTACAAAAGCCTTTGAGTCATATTCAGCTTGACCAGATGCTCAGTGCAGGAAGTTAGGAAGCTCCCAGGAGCTGCTTCTGTGAGGGAAAGGACCCAGGACAGAGAGCAGGAAAGAGGGTCCTCCTGGCCCCCAGAACTCCGGTTCATACTTGGAATACGTTTTGCCTTTCCTGGGTCTCCAGGGCTGCAGCTGGTAAAGGTAGCCTGTGATTGTGGAGCTCACCTCGTGAGTCCTGCGGTTGGTCACCTTCACCATCACCTTCTTCTTTAGGTCATAGCCCCTGGAATCTGATGACGCTAAATTCTTCACCTTCGATTCCATGTGAAGTGCCTGGTAAAAGAAACACTTCTCACTAAATAATCCTACATTCGGCCGGGCACAGTGGCTCACACCTGTCACCCCAGCACTTTGGGAGGCTGAGGTGGATCGCTTGAGCCCAGGAGTTCAAGACTAGTTTCAGCAACATAGCAAAACCCTGTCTCTATAAAAATACAAAAATTAGCCAAGCATGGTAGTGCTGGAGTTTCACTTTTGTTGCCCAGGCGCAGTGCAATGGCTCAATCTCAGCTCACCACAATGTCTGCATCCCAGGTTCAAGTGATTCTCCTGCCTCAGCCTCCCAAGTAGCTGGATTACAGGCATGTGCCACCACGCCCAGCTAATTTTTTTTTTTTTTTTTTTTTTTTTTTTTTTTTTTTAGTAGAGACGGGGGTTTCTCCGTGTTGGTCGGGCTGGTCTTGAACTCTCAGCCTCAGGTAATCCACCCACCTCCGCCTCCCAAAGTGCTGGGATTACAGGCATGAGCCATCATGCATGGCAAGACTTTCTCTAAGAAGGTGTCCCACCCTTGTCCCTTGGATTTCCCACTAAGAGGAAAGACAGACCACCAGATTTTCTCCATCATATCCTAGAACTAACACTTGTAGTCCCTACCAAATTGATTACACCTCTGACAAGGTCCCTGCTGATGTGATTGCAAGTCTTCAGGGAGCTGTCCGCGTCCGCCGCCCGCGTCTTCTCTGTGGCACAGCAGCCATCAGGGTGCCCAGACCCGAGGAGGCCCCAGGACAGTCTGGGATGGCCTGGTCATGGCCAGCAAGAGTTGGTCTGGGATCCCAGTTGCCCTGGTAGGCTGTTGGTGAAAGGAAACCTAGGACTGGGCTGGGTAGTCTGGCTTCTGTCACTAGTTCCCCGAGAGTCCTTGGGAAAGCACCGCCACCCCACGAGGCCTTGAGGTGCTTTCTGCAGCTGACGTCACAGCCCCTGGCTCCAGATAAATTACCTTCTTGAGCTCTTCACTCATTTGATTGGCTTCTGCAACCAGCGGCATGAGTTTGATGTAGTCCTGGAACACAGCCAGGACGCTGGGGTCTGCTTTGCCGTCTCCACCGTCTGCAGCACCTGGTGACGATCACGATGGAGGTGACAGTCAATCACTTGTTCTACTATGAAGGCTCACTGCAGCCTCCGCCTCCCGGGTTCAAGCGATTCTCCTACTTCACCCTCCCCAGAAGCTAGGATTACAGCTGTGTACCACCACACCTGGCTAAGTTTTGTATTTTTAGTAGAGATGGGGTTTTGCCAGGTTGGCCAAGCTGGTCTTGAACTCCTGATCTCAGGTGATCTGCCCACCTCAGCCTCCGAAAGTGCTGGGATTACAGGCATGAGCCATCATGCCAGGCCCATTTTTTTTTTTTTTGAGACCACTATCTCGCTCTGTTGTCCAGGCTGGTGTCCAGTGGCATGATCTCTGCTCATTGCAGCCTCTACCTCCCAGACTCAAGCAATCCTCCCATTTCAGCCTCCTAAGTAGTTGGGACTACAGGTGTGAGCCACCACGTCTGGCTAATTTTTAAATTTTTTGTAGAGATGAGGTCTCACTTTGTTTCCCAGGCTGGGTCTTGAACTCCTGGTTTCAAGCAATTCTCCTGCCTTGGCCCCTCAAGGTGTTAGGATTACAAGCATGAGACACCACCCCCAGGGATCATGTATAAATTTATATGCTTATTCATTCATTCATTCGTTCAACTGCTCATCAAATATCTACATTTAAAAATTATAAGCATGTCATTAAAAAAAAAAAAAAAACCCAGAGGAAAACGATACTGTCTGGCTTCTCCTTATGTAGCTGCTTCTCTCAACCCTTGAATCCTGGCCACAAGCAGGAGGCCCTCTGCCCCCAGTTCTTATTCTTGGTCTCAGGGTCCGTGACCCACAGTGGCTGCAGACTGAGGAGGGTGCGGTGAGGTGAGACCTGGTTGTCTACACAGAAGGCCTGGGACGCATCCTCAAGCTGTGGCTGGCACAGAAAGCGACCTGTTCTTCTCTTATACTTGGGGTGGCTTGAGGAGGGGCTTGTGGAGATTATGGGAGGACCAATCTCCCTCCCAAACCCAGGCTAGTACTGCCTCTAATCAGGACCTCCCAACTCTTTAGGGACCCCTGTCCTGTGGGTGCACACAGTGCCCTTGGCCCTGGGGTCTGACCCCAAACTGCCCACACAGCTGCTGCCTTGCTGAGGACACAGGTCTTCACTAGGGTCTGAGCCAGGGTCTGGGGCTGGTTCATGGCACCACCAGCCCTACCAGCGATATAAGGGCAGTGGCACGGTCAGCCTGGGACCACAGGGTCTCGCTGGTTTGTTTTTAGAAGTCAGGAACTGGTTGGGCACAGTGGCTCACACCTGTAATCCCAGCACTTTGGGAGGCTGAGGCGGGTGGATCATGAGGTGAGGAGTTCAAGACCAGCCTGACCAAAATGGTGAAACCCTGTCTCTACTAAAATTACAAAAAAATTAGCCAGGCGTCGTGGTGGGCACCTGTAGTCCCAGCTACTCGGGAGGCTGAGGCAGGAGAATCGTTTGAACCCGGGAGGCAGAGGTTGCAGTGAGCCAAGATTGTGCCACTGCACTCCAGCCTGGGCAACAAGAGTGAAAAATAAATAAATAAATAAATAAATAAAAATAAAAGTCAATAGCTTCAGCAGAAGAAGAGGAAGGAGGTGAATTTCAAATCCATTTATTTTGCTAAAATTCTGAGCAAAGCACTGTGTTATGGGAAACGGAGGAGCACTCCCGCATACACGCAGGGGGGGGTCTGCTCGCTTTCCACCAGCGTTTGCCTTACGGTGAGCTCAGGCAGAGTGCCGGTGCTGAGCAAGCGTGGGGCCCCTCCAGGAAGCCCGCACATCACAGATCTTGGCAGGGTCCGGCCTCACCTGGATTCTGGGGGAGCTGCCCTGAGCAGGTGAACCGGGGCCTGGGGCAGGAGCGGGGAGGGTGTGCAAAAGCCCTACCTGAGACAGAAAGAGGTGGCCGGCCAGCATCAGCCCTTCTGAAGGCCCTCACCTGGGAGGGTCCAGATTATTGCTGGGGGCTGAGTTGAGGGGAGCAGGGGGGCTTCTGTCTCAGAAGCCCAGGGCTGTGCGTGCTTCTGGGCCACACATTTCCAGCCCAGAGCAGGTGCCCACCGGCTCCTGTCGTGTTAAGCCGCTGTTCTGCCGGCCCAGCAGACCCCTGGGGGCGACCATAGGCCACTCACTGGCTTCCCCAGCTCAGCATTCTTCCCTTACTTGCTGTGCACCCCACTCTCTTATCTGCCCTTTGAACCATCTTTACCCTCATTCGTCGGGGAAAGTTTGAGTTTTTTTAACATGCACTCACTCTATATGGAAATTATTCAATTTTGTAAACATTAGACTTTGACAAAACAAATGATTTTCTTAAGGAAAGCAGAGAGATAGAGTGTGAAACCCCTGCTCTCAGATCACCACGGGAGAAGCCGGAGCCAGGCGGGGCCCTCACCCAGCTCGTCCTCGCCCACTCCCTCCGCAGCCGCCCTCTCCAGCTGGAAGAAGTCGTAATCGAACCTGCCGAGGTCCTCACTGCCCTGCTCTGAAGGAAGCCCCACGTACAGGTAGGCACTGTTGGATCCCAAAATAAGGCGGTCCTGGGGAGGAGAGAGTGGGCTCAGGAGGGCATTGAGACCAAGGAGGGTGAGGTGACCTCGCTGTGAGAAGGATCTGAGGAATGTCCTTCCCGCGGGAATCCCCCAGACAGGGAGAGACGCAGACGCAGTGAGGGTGGGTGGCAGCTGGCTCCTGCGTTCACCTTAATCCCACACACTGAGGGTGCAGCTCCCTTGGCCCTGGGAGTCCGTGGGGACCACACAGAGCCAGGCCCTCCTTCCACCCATTTCCAGGCTGGCCCGGGCAAGTACAGCCTCGGCTGCAGGGGACACCAGCCTAACTCAGACGGCGGGTTAGAGACAGCCTCTTCTGAGGGCTGTTGCTCAAACTGAGCCCTCCTGTGTGGTTAAGTCTGGATGAGGCAGAGACAGCAGCTGCAAAACCACAGGAAGGGCAGTGTGGCCAGAAAAAGGCCGAGGAGGTCCCTGAGGGGGCTTTGCAGAAGGGGAGTGGCCAATCCCAATTTGCCTGTCCTGTCTGAAACGCTCTGGCCACCAGGGAGGGGAGAGGGCTGCAGGTGGGCTGGCAGGAGCCCGGGGTTGGCAAAGTGGGCAGGAAGAGGTGCTGCTGCTGTTGGTGAGATGCGTGTGGCCCCAATCAGTGACAGGATCTTAGAAAAATAGAAAATGTCACAAAACATTAGAGCTGGAAGGGACCTTGGAGGACACCTAGTTCAGCCCGCCTTGTTTTCCAGGAGAGGGCAAAGAAGGCAAGTGACTTCCCAAGAGCATCCAGCGTCAAGAGCAAGCCTCTCCCTCCAGCAGCTGTGCCTTGAGGCCACGGTAGGAGGCCTGCCCGGTGGGAACGCCCCGCCCTGCCACGCCTGTGATGCGGGCACCTCACATGGCCATCCCCCCCCACCAGCTGTGAGCCCTCAGGGAAGTTTACCAAATGCTGCAGCTTTGTCCTGGTGGTGATGGGCACCCCGTTAACGGCAACCTTGCATTCGCTGTGTGGAGTGATTCCTAGAAACTCACCCCAGACCTTGAATTGTGATAGCATTTGAAGCAGCCTGGCCAGCGTCACAGGAACCTGAAAAGAATTAGAGTATAATTTATTGTCAAAATCAGACGCTTTCCAAATTTGACCTTAAAAAGTTAACATGGCTGATGTTTTGGAAGTGACATTTTCTCTGCAGTGAGATGGTATAAAGGGATTTTTCCAATTGGGATTTTCAATCATAATGGTACTTAGACATAATTTTCTTTCTGCCTCTTGTGTGTGTGAGGGAGAGGAGTTCCTAACTTTTAAAAAGTTCCGCCTTCTTCGTGGGCATTCTGGAGAAAGAACCCACTATGTCTAGGCCTTAGGAGACCGCTGAATACTAGAGAGGCCACAGGAGAGGGTCTGGTGTTTGAAGCTCCATGCAGACAGCGTCACAGCTGCTTCCGGGCAGCCTCGCGCCCCCAGCCCCACATCCCCACGGCCATTCTGCACGGAGCCCTCGGGGCTATCTTGGGGCGCACAGCAGGGGAGGGGAGGTCGGGGTGCCTTCGGTTCTGGGCGCTGTGTTCCACCCTGCTCAGCACTCATTTAGGTCAGGAAGACAGCTCAGGGGCTGATTCCCTCCTTAGAAACTGCTAAACAAAAATGTAACAAGAACCTGCCTGATGACAGATGAATGAAATGTGGTGTGTACACCCCAGGGGATGTTGTTCAGCCCTCAGGAGGAAGGAAAATCTCACACACGCTGCACGGAGGCACTGAGGACATTCTGCTGAGGGCAGAAGCCCGTCAGGAAAGCGTGAAGAGGTCCTTGTCTGAGGTCTTCCCCGTCATCAAAGGCACAGAGACAGGAGGTAGGACAGTGGCTGCGGGCCGGAGTGGGAGGGGCAGCTCGCCTTTGTGGGCACAGAGTTTCAGTTTGGGAAGATGAATATGTCCTGCACGTGGATGGTGATGACAGTCATGCAAGATCAGTGTACCTAATGCCACTGACCATCTTAAAATGGTTAAAACGGTGAGCTTCATGTATATTTTACCAAAATAACAAATATTTAAAAAACAAGAAAGAAACATGCCTGTGGGGCAAGAAGCAAGAGCAGGGTGGGGACAGGGCAGAGGGAGGACAGGGACAGGGCAGGGGGAGGGGAGAGCAGGGGGAAGGCAGGGGGAGGGTAGGACAGAGGGAGGGCAGGGGGAGGGTAGGGCAGGGGAAGGGCAGAGCAGGGGCAGAGAGAAGACAGGGGGCCAGCTGAGTCTTAAATGAAGTGCTTGAGGACCCCGGTGAGCTGTGGGTCCTCATTGACGTTAAGAAGGCGAGGGAAGGTCTGCATCATCTGCAATTGGGTCACCAGTATTTCTTTCCTGTCTCTGCACCTTGTCAACCCACCTGGGGAGGGGGGAAGGCTGAGTGGGCTGGGGCGTTGCTGATGGCGGGGTGGGGTCTCAGGCGGGCCGGTGGTCAGGAGTCTGAGTACATTTGGATGGGAGGGTTCCCAGGCATTGTCTCCCCAACCCTCCCCAGCTGCCTGGATGCCCCACTCTGGTCCCCACCTGGGCAGCCCCTCCCCAGGACTCCATGCAGCCTCTCATTCTCCCAAAGTCCTGCTGCTGGCTGAGAATCAGACGTTGGTGGCAAAAAGTGGGGTGTGCCATGAACCCTTGCCTGGGTAACTGAATGCACGCCAGGTACATTCTTTCACACAAGGGTTAATGGGTATTGTGGCATACCCACTGGAATTGAGAGTCTTGCTGCTTCGATACCGGACACTCGGGCCAATTTCACCTCAATAGTTTTATTTTACCCTTTTATCCATCTCATTTTAATCGTTAATGAGCATAAAATGATATATATGTTTATGCTGCCAGGCTGAAATCTAGCGCCTTTACCTATCACAGAGGTTCTCGATAATTGTGCACATTGGAATCACCTGGGGTGCATTGGCGCCGACTGTGCCCAATGATTCTGGTTTCTGTGGCTGGGCGGAGCCCTGTCACCAGGTGGCTGTGATGCACAGCCGCGTGGAGCTCTGCCCGGAGGGGGTGGAGCTCTGCCCGGAGGGGGTGGAGCTCTGCCCGGAGGGGGTGGAGCTCTGCCCGGAGGGGGTGGAGCGCTGCCCGGAGGGGGTGGGGCTCTGCCCGGAGCGGGTGGCCAACCCTCCACTGGCTTCCAGCACCATCTCACCGCAGGAAGCCCTCAGGACAGACGTCAGGTGGCCACTGTCCAAATTCGGTGAGGAAAAACGTCCTGGGAGAAACTGACCTCAAAATGAAAATGAGGCTGGGCGCAGTGGCTCACGGCTGTAATCCCAGCACTCTGGGAAGCTAGGGAGGATCGCCTGAGCCCAGGAGATCTGAGGCTCTTATGAGGGTGATCACACCTCTGCACTGCTGCCCAGGTGACAGAGCGGACCCTCATCAAATACTAAATAAACAAAATGGCGATGAAAATGACCATATTAAATACAGGGCTGCTGTTCCTGACAACTGCAAGTGAGTCTACATTTATTTCAAAGTAAAATATTTTTTTAAAGGATAGAACCACAATATCCTGGACAAAGCCCAGTGCCCCCGCCCTGCACCCCGGCTACCCCCCCGATTCTAATCCAGGTCATGCCCCTGCCCTGCAACCCGGCTACCCCTCAGATTCTAATCCAGGTCATGTCCCCGCCCTGCACCCAGCTACCCCTCAGATTCTAATCCATGCGCTCCCCGCAGCCTCAGGCTTCGGCCAGGTCATGCCCCCGCCCCTCCGCCCAGTGCTCAGGGCACTGGCCCCTGACTCGGTTTACCTGCCACTCTGGAGTTTCTGCATCTGGGCAGTAGCTCGCCGTTCCCTGCCCTTGCCTCTCTCGTCAGTGTCCAGGTGTTGACCACTGCTTTGTTCCGGATCTTTTTAGCCCTTTCATGCGCAAAGATGGACACACTCGTAGGCTTGGAACCCCTTGCCCGAGCAGCTGCACCCCCAGGGCACATTCAGGTCTCCCCCGGCCCCAGGTGACTTGAGATTTCACATCAGGTCTGGTTCCATTAAGCCATTAAGACCAAAGTGGCTTTAGTCACCTGCACAGTTTAAATAATCACGTGCAGCTCAGCCAGGCAGGGACTCAGCCCCTAACCTGTCCTGGGACCTGAACACACGCAGCCAGTGGGGCTGACTTGGTTAACCTAAGAGCCTGCTCAATACCTGTTGCTGCTGAAATAACTGATGGCCTGGAGGCTGTGGGGACTGCTCCACCATGGGCACCAGCCTGGGCGGAATCTCGGAGGCCTTCTAGGTCACTCCCTTCCTGACGTTGTCGGAGAAAACATGAGGTGCCCCCAAATACTGCATGGGACATACAGTAAAACATTACTTGCACTCTGAAATTTAAATGTAACTGGACACCTTGTATTTTTATTTGCTAAATCTGGCAGCTGAACTTCTTTCGTTTTCCACAGGGGAGTTGGAACTGGGGTTTAACAAGGAGAACCCCGAGTCGTACAGGCTGTGGATACCATTTTTTCTTTCCTCTTATCACATGGTCTCTCCTGTAAAACCTGGAAGCAACAGATTTGCATCTGACAAGCAGGGAGGAAACATTCTGGATACTGCTTAAGACAAAATTCGTTTAGAGATCTGAGCTTGGGCTGGGCACGGTGGCTCATACCTGTAATCCCAGCACTTTGGGGAGGCTGAGGCGGGAGGATCACTTAAGGCCAGGAGTTTAAGACCAGCCTGGCCAACATATCAAGGCTCCATCTCTACAAAATTAAAAAATTAGGCAGGCATGGTGGCTCATGCCTGTAGTCCTAGCTACTCCAGAAAGGCTGAGGTGGGAGGATCACTTGAATTTGGGAGGTTGAGGATGCCATGAGCCATGATCATGCCACTACACTCCAGGCTGGGTGACAGGGTGACACCTTATCTCAAAAAA